TAGCATTATTTGCCCAAAATGAATGTTAACAGATATTTAGAGGAAAAGGGCCCTGCCAATTGTTTGTAAATAGACCTCTTAAAGTTACTTCCACATCACCTCTGTGTCTTGTATTGGAGTTTGGCAGGAGGGACCAGTGAGTGCAGCAGGGGACCAAGAAATTGTCACTCCTGGAAGTGTTGGCTTCTTAGCAGATGTTAGAAGAAGATTTATCAGCATGGGCAGCAAGAGGGGTCAGTATTTACTTTTGGCTAATTTTAGTTTCCTGACAAGGTCGCTTTAAAGTGGATGTAAACCCTAGATGAACAGCATTGCGTTTGATAAAGCATTGTGTGTCAAAAGCAATTTCTTTTATTGTAATGAAATTCCACCTTTTTAACTTTTTTTTTCCATGTTTTGTTATATACTAGTGCTGATTATCTCCTGCATCTTCTTTGCAGCCACTTCCTGTCTAACTGTTTTCCTTACGTTATGTTATAAAACATTTATTATTACCCATTTTTTTTTTGTAAAGCATAAAAGACGGGGTCACGCCGTGTAAATAGACACCAAACACGTCAAGCCATATAATTGCGTGTGCCCGCAAAATCGCAATCAAACTACCATACCCAAAATTGGCCATACGCAACGCTTTAAAAGCTTTTACCTCTCATCAGTTTAGTGTTCTCAGTGATTGATGGCCCTAGAATTTTTGCTCGCACTCCAAAGTTCCCGGTGATATGTAACATGTGCGGCGCAATCGTTTTCGTATGTAGGCGCACCCAACTCATGTTTGCATTTGTGTGGGGGCGGGGGACTTTTTAAAAAAAAATGTGTGATCTTATTTTTTATTAATATGTGACTTATTTTTGTAAACTTTTTTTTTTTTTTACACTTATCTTTACAAACAGGAGCCAGAAAGGATGTTTAAAAACACCAACCCGTGTTCAAGAGTAACCCGTCCTGTCGTTTATTTACATCAACTGTACAGGAAGAGGTTAACGCTAGCCATACACCAGTAGAAATTTTTGAAATGGTCGAATCTTCTGATGTTTTATGGGTGCAACTCGACCATGGTTTTCAACAGCATAGACAAGAAAGTGATCATTTTTTTTTTTTTTATCTGAATGAACAAAATTCTAGCGGTGAAGGTGATTTCCCTTCGGCAAAATCATACATGTGGTAATGTGCATGTGTTAGGAAAAAATTCAAGCAGCTGGTCTGGTTGAAATTTTTTAGGGCTCCCAAATGAAATTAGTTGACCCTCCCCCCTTATCTTCACCTTCTCCCATGACTCCAAGCACCTATTTCAAAGCTTCAATTCAGTAATGCACCCTCACTAATGCGCCCTCCTCCCCCTCGCCCCTCTACTAACCTCTCTGCTACAGATTGAACATCATTTTTCACCAAGAAAATTAACAATATCCGACATGAAATCGCCTCCCTTACTCCCTCCCTACCCTCTGTCCAGCCTCTTCCTCTTCACTCAGTGCCTTCTCCCAGGTTTCCGAAGTAGAGGTCTCTGCTCTTCTCCTCCTCCCCTACCGCCTGTCCCCTCTACTCTATTCCATCACGCCTTATCTGTCCTCTCTCTTCTGTGATTGTCCCTTCTCTCACCCAAATCTTCAATCCTTCTCTTACTTTTGGCGTCTTTCCCTCTTCCTTCAAACACACCCTCATCGCACCCATACCAAAAAAACAGTCTCTCGACCCTGAAGCTTTATCTAGCTATTGTCCCATCTCTCTTCTTCCCTTTGCCACCAAGCTCCTTAAAAGACTGGTATATACCCAACTCACAGACTACCTAAACTCCAACTCCCTACTTGACCATTGGGACTATCTATTGGGACTATCTGTGCTATCTCGTAGGGTGGGAGAGGGCCCGGTGTAAGGTCCAGCTGGGATAAATTGGCGCTTGCAGTGGGTACTTATCTCTAGCTTCAGGACGGAACACATTTGCACAAGTTCACTTTGAGGTGTATTGATGTGTCAATGTGTTCTAGGAATTGGAGTCACTTCCTCTCAGCGATCATTTAGATTTGTAGCCGCCCTGAAATTATGAATCTGATTGGTGGAGAATGAAATCCACTTCTCAGTAAAGGACACGTTAAGGCATGTTGATAAGGCCCCTTAACCAAGTTGCTGCCCTGAAGCTTGACAATTTGCATTTGTTTAGACCAGGGGTGGGCAACTTCTGCCCTCCAGCCTATGTGGAACTGCAAGTCCCATGAGGCATTGCAAGACTGGCCACAAACCCCAACATGCCTGTAACTCTCAGTCTGGCAATGCCTCATGGGAGTTGTAGTTCCACATCAGCTTGAGGACCGGAGTTGCCCACCCTTTCCTACATGCATGTAGGGTGATATTTGCACAGGAGCTGCAGCAGGGATCAGAGCAGGAAACATCAGGGAGGGGGAGAGGTTCATTTACTTAATTTTTATTTAAAGCTGAACTCAGGATAAGTAAAAATCTAAATATATGACGCACAAATTGTTCCTTGAATCTTGGTGAGTTTTGTGTATTTATTCCATATCTATACAGTAATCCAATGTCTCTCTGCAGGAGCTTCCTGTAATGAAGACCGGTCACTGAAGCTCGATCTCCTTGTGCAGGGTGACTGGTCTTGTCCCCGCCCCTCCTGCAGTTTCTGTGGTGGGAGGGGCTTGCTGGGTCCCTCCCACAGCTCTGCTGACTGCACAGGCTGTGTACGGCATAGTGATGATGTCATTGCTACTTTAACAAGGTAATAACTAGGTGTGTAAAGGCATTTGGTGCTCACAGAGTGGATTCATATGCTTTGTGACTATTGATAGACATGTGCACGGCAAAAAAAAAAATTCAAATAAAACAAATTAAAATGAAAAACATTTTCATTCGTTTCGTCAAAGAAAATTAATTTCTATGCTGTTTTTCGGATTCGGAGGCAATGCGCAATTCCGAATCGGAAACCGCACAATGAAACTGCAGAACGAGCGGCGGCCATATTAACCGCCGGCGCGTTCTGTGCATGCACGCCACCATTTTGGAGTGTATCTTGGTATACACCAAGATATACTCTAAAATGGCGCCACGCATGCGCAGAACGTGCCAGTGGCCGATATGGCCGCTGCTCGTTCAGTGTATGACGTCACAGTCTTGTGACATCATGTGGTCTGCCTCCAAGACGGCGACGGGCATGCCGTATGTTCTGAAAAAGAATTTATGTATGCCCGAATATTGTTTTAGTATATTCGGGCATATAATACATTCGTTATTTCGGATTTGGATGAAAAGTCAAATCAACTGAATTTCGTTGATTTGCAGGTTCGTCCGAATCCGTATGCACATGGCAAACTATTGATAAATATATTTCAACAACATTTTTTGTACCCGGGGTTCAGCTTTAAGGTGTATCTAAAGCCACCATTTAATTTTGGTTTTGGTACAAGCAGAGATGTTTTAGAAACTCTGTCAGGTTAGGGCTATCTATATCCCTGCTGGGGAGATTCACTTGCTCTAGAGGCAACAGGAATATGGGGGACAGAGGCGTAACAATCACCATAGCGACCCAAGCAGCCGCTATAGTCCGGTGACGGAGGAGGCGGGGCCCATCAGCGACCGTGGACGAAGAGGAGGCGGACAGGTAAGGAGTGCGACCTGTCCACCTGAGGGAGACCCTGCGTAGCCCACCATAGAGAGTCTATGGTGGGCTCTGCAGGTTCAACCCCACTCTGGGATCTCGAGTGGGCACTGCAAGGGGTATAACTAGTCACCATACAAAGGGGTATAACTAGTCCCCATACAAGGGGTATAACGGGTCCCCATACAAAATGGGGCCCTGGTATTCCTAGTTACGCCCCTGATGGGGGATCTTATAATGGGGACACTTTAGTTGACAGTTGTCTGAGCGAGGATTTCCTGTTGTGTTTCAAGACAGGAAGTAAAGGTAAATTTTCCTGAAGAGTCACAGAGGCATCCCCAGCCCGGGTGTCACCTGGAGCAGCCGTGACGTCTTGACGACCGCATGTGACGTCATGACACATGCATGTGGTGACGTTATGACACATGCATGTGATGACGTCATGTGCACCTAACTGCCGGCGGCCATCTTGGTGATGGACGCCGCCAAAGAGAGGAAGGGATGTTCAATGGGCAGGATAGGGTTATGCCACCGGGTCCCCTCCTCTCATGTGCAGCTGTTGGGCTGTAGTGCCCAACTTTTCCGACGGGGTGACAGTCCTTTTGGTGTCATCCCCTCTGATGGTGTCACCCAGTGTGGGCCGCACCCCCCATGTGACGCTGCTGCATACAGAAAAAACTATAGGGGTTTTCTCCATTCCCTACTATATCCAAAATTTAAAAAAAAACATTTCAGCTTTAGATCTATTGAAGACAGGGGGACATAAGGCTAAACCAGTAGACTCCTGCACTTTGCTGGATCTCATGTCTCTGACCCTCCTCTAATGTCCTTGGCCAGACGCAAGATACGCCTTTTCTGACAAAACGATATTTGCAGCACGTAAAATGTAAAAAAAAATTTTGTGCACCCCTTGTTTCGCTTGGTGTGGCAAATCATGTGATTCCCCCCATCTGGGGGACATTGTAGGGACTATTCTGCCCCAGTGACTGAGTCTACGGAATGTTATCTCTATAAATATGAGCGGTCATTACATGGACTTCTCATGCTGCAAAGTTTGATTTTCATCACAGCAATCCAACACAGAAACTATATGAACAAAAAAAAAGTAAAAGCAAAGGATGAGGCAGCCCGACACACATCAGCAGCTCTCAGCCTCATGACCTGGCTGCACACTGATAACCTGACTGACTCCATTCACGACTAGGAACGCGTCACGTGATCTTTTCACCCAGGGCAGGGGGCGGGAGCCATAGGAGATGGGATTGAGTGGCATACGACAGAGCCAATCAACGGCCGCACCTGCCTACGTCACTCGCTACCCGGCTCACCTGGGTTGCGTTCAGAGTTAAAGAGAGCGGCTAGCTGGGCGGGCGTGTCATATGTTCAGAGGGACTCAGCACAGGCGAGGAGCGGCTTCCCACACACTCATGGGGGGAAACAACATTTTCCCCGCGGCTCTGTGCCTGGCCGGACTGCTCTGCCTATTGCAGGTAAGTGGACTTGAATGCACACTCTCCCTCAGGGGCTCTTTGAGGGCGACTTTTACTCCTTTACGCCTTGCCCTTGGTTAAACTCTGTCGCTCCTCCCCTCCCGGGTGTAAGTTATACTGGGGCTACTTTGCCCCCCCCCTGTGGCTACGAAGTTTCTGCGAATGTGTACAAGTGACCTTTTAAGGTGTTTTGTAGCCTTTGTGGTGGTCAGCCCATCTGCAGTCCTATATAATCCTAGTTATAATGGTCTTCATTCACCCAGTGTTCATCAGCTGCTAGGTGTGTGTGGGGGATGGGAAGATGGATGCATGGCATACAAAATAAAATGCTCGTGTGTTTATAACCTATGTGTAACAAAATGCATGTATGTGCATGTGTGTAGGGTCTAAAATGCATGTGTGTGGGGTCTAAAATGCATGTGTGTGGGGTCTAAAATGCATGTGTGTGGGGTCTAAAATGCATGTGTGTGGGGTCTAAAATGCATGTGTGTGGGGTCTAAAATGCATGTGTTATTTTTTGACCAATACATGTAGCTTTTTAGTACATAGCTGTTGCTGTTATGAGGGGATTTCCATAGCTGTGATCGGGAGGATACACTTCTGTCTTGGGGCATCTTCCACCCACATATTAAGGAATGTTACTTTTATTGCCAATTTCCCCTTTCCTTAGTAAATGTTGCTCCTGAGTACATCTTCTTCTTTCTGAAGATCATTTATAATGTTGCTGATCTTTGGAACCGTTCTATACTAAGTTGGGCGGTTGGACGCCACTTTGTGTTTTTAAGGTGGTGGTGCTCAAAAAACATTTCAATGCAAACTGTAGCAATGGCTGCCTTTGACCTTTGCCTGCAATGCAATAGGATTTTCTGCATCCATAGAAGTGCATTGGGGGTTAAGTGCATCCTGAAGGGCTACCAATGCTGCACCATTGCAGTCAATGGCAAGCTGCAGACTGGTATTTGGCCCCTTCAAACACAGGGAAATGGGCTCCTTCATGAGCCGTAAGGGCTTGTTCACACCATAGGGGTCCAGCTGCTTTTTCCTGCACATGGCTGGTGTGACCTGTGCAGTTCTGTTCTATGTCTGTTTTCACCATACAAAGAAACACGGCTCAAGGTGAACAAGCCCCAACGTTGGTTGACATTGCCTGCAGATCTTATAATGGAGACCATACACACCGCAATTCAGGAAACCTTATCCACTCATCCCAATGTCATTGGCAAAAACGAATTGGCGCAACCGACCACCAACCATGAGAAATGATTGACACTGTCGGTTTTGGGATCCAATGTTTCTGAACGATTGCTGAGTGTATGGGCGCTGTGAGCGCTGCATTGATCCTACAGAAGCTGAAGATGGCGTGTATGATGGAACTAATTGATGCCTTTGATTTTTGCAGGTTTTGCCATCACTAGGCGAATCTCCTTCAGAATGTCGTCCCGGCTTCTCCTCCAATGAGTTTATTTTCGCTACGGAGCGCAGAGAGCTCAAGAAGGACAAAAAATTGGGCACAGGTACAGTGAGACCGCTCTGCCAACCTCACGGAGGTGGCGTAGTCAACCCACGTAGGGCGGGCACCCTCCCACCTCAGTGTCTTTGGAGTTGTGTTTACCAAAGCCTTGGGATGGTGCGGTTTAATGTACCGCTCTACCTGGCAACCTCTGAGTTGCAGTTGTGTGTTACGTTTTTAACCCCTTCCATAGCCATCTCCTTACACAGCGTGCTTTTTATAGAGCAGACTCAAGTGTTATTCATTTCTTTAGCTTAGACATTAACCTTGAAACGATGTTTGCTTTCCTGTGGTTTTCTTTTTCTTTCAGAGCCAGTGCTTTCCCCATCTTCCCCGTCTCCCTTAGTTCCCTTTTCTGTGTAACACTTGAAGGAAAGAGCAGGCCGGCAGCATTGAAACTTCATAGTTACATTTTAGATGACTGTGTAGCTGGGGGGAAATGAATTGGACATTCATGTAGTCATTTGTCTTCCTTCAGGAAGTCATAAAGCTGCATGGGATTCTGACCCTTGGTTGCTTTATTTCCTTTGTGCTGTAGAGCGGCACGACGCATGTCATTGCAGTTAATCTGGGATCTGCCTGTATGTATTAGCACAGTGTACAGAGTCAATACAGAGGTTATGCACGGGCTTCATCATGTTAAGAATTTTACACACTGAGTGTGCATTGTTGGTTTTTCATTTGGAGAGTATTCACACCAAAATCAGTAGGAAAGCGCAAGTCAGCGGAGGGACTTGCAATTGTACCTTCTAGGGATGCAGCAATACGGATACTAGTATCGGTGATGGTGCCAAGTAGTTGGTCGAGTACTCATACTCACCCTGATGCCTAGCCTGATACTTCCTGTATCTACTTGTGATGAGAGAATCAAGCCGGGCAGCGTGTAATGACACGCTGCCTGGCTTTCTGATTGGTTGGGAAGCTGGCCAATCAGGAAGCCGGGTGCAGTGTAATGATGCGTCGCACAGCTTTCTGATTGGCCGTGAAGCCGGCTTGCGCATGCTCCCTCGTCACCTCATTAAGAGGGAGCATGGAGCTGGCTTCCCGGCCAATCAGGAAGCCAGGTGCCACGTCATTACTCGGCGCTCTGCTTCCTGATTGGCAAGAAAGCCGGCTCTATGCTTTCTTGTCGCCTAGTGACGAGAAGCATGGGGACTGCTTCCCTGCTAATCAGGAAGCCGAGTGCCGTGTAATGATGTGGCACCTGGCTTCCTGATTGGGTCTTTTGGTATCGGCAAGTACCGTAAAAAAAAAAATCGGTACTCAATACCGGTATCGGTGCATCCCTAGTACCTTCCAATCTGTTGTGTTGCAATGCATTATCCAATAGATGCTGATGGAAGGGCACAAAAAATGAATGGGTCTAAATGGGGCTAGCTTACACTGGATCAGTTCTGCTGAAGAGTTTTTATTTTTTTTCTTCAGCGAAACTTAATGCAGCAGAGTGGTGTGATCACACCTATAAATTTTTTGCTGCCCAATTGCCCATCCACTGTTATCTGTGTAAAAACGTATTGCAGTGGAACTGGTGTGAATGGGCCCTAATTTGAGTGGTATTAAGCCTTGGGGGTGCAATTGCATCAATTCAACATGCAAAATGAAGATCGATGTTTCCTTAAAACGTGAAGTACTTGTGTGTGAGTGCGATGAAAGCAGACGGCATGTTCTATTGTATAATGCAACTGATCATTTTCACTATTTTAACCCAGCCTTCTAATCCTTTTTATTGGTACTGGGTGGATTTGAAAACCATAGAACATCCACGGGGCTAGTCACAAGTGCGGAAAAATAACAATTGAGCATGACAGAAATTAAAAATGTTTCTAGTGAGCGTTTAAACTGTCTGGATGTCATTTAGTTTGCTAAAGCACTGAGTAACCTAAACAATTGCTATGTTTTTTTTCTTTTCACATGAATACCGTTGTCACTTCTTTGCATTTTGGTGCTGCTGGTTTCCTCCACCCTTTCAGCTACTTCCTGTCTATATGCACTTGCTGTAGTCCTTGCACATTACTGCTCTGACTTCAATGGATCATGCCTGACCGATGTCAGTGTGGCCACTTGCAGTCTTCAGCTTCTTCCTGTTTACATGCACTTGCTGTAGTGTCGGCTGCACATCACTGCTCTGATCATGGTGGATCATGCCTGACCGGTGTCAGCGGGGCCACTTGCAGCCTTCTTCAGGGGTGCATGTGACAGGGTGATGACCATAGGAGGACAATTGTCACCCCTTAGCAGGATTTGCCTACGTGGCAGGGTCGGCGGGTATTTTGCTACAGATAAAGATTGAACACGTCTTTTTTCAGTTTTAGAGCTGGAGGTTTTAGTGATTGGTTTAGATGTACAGTAATCCCTTAGGCCTCATTCACACTGCACATATACGCGCATATATGCATATGCGCGCATATTGTCCCATATGCAAATATGTTGCGTCCAGGCAGCGTATTTTCACGCATACACATGTTTGCGCGTACATGCGTACAGCACATTAAAATTTAAATTACGAGTGATGCATTCTGCGATTGCATATAGTGCATTCGTATACACACGTATACATATGCGCATATACATATGCGTATATACGCAATAAAACTCCAATGTATTCATTGTATCACAGAGCAGAGGGAGCACACAAGGAAAACTATTAAAACAAAAAACACCAGTAAAAGGCCTCATTCACACACATCGCAAGAGCAAAATTGTATGTCTGTTTCATGCAGCTGATGCACTTTTTTTCCGGCTTGTTGCTGCTCTTTGGACACGGTCGGCGTGCGTTGAGGAATTTAAAATTTTGAAATATTGCATTGTGGGTTTGTTCCGCAGTTGAGTTCTCAGGATAACAACCTGTGCGTTCACACCCCACCCCCATCCTCCGGTCTCGCATTCCTCAGCTCAGGTTACCTGTACGGGGACTATAGATTGTCTTCCTCTAAGCAGTTGTTTTGTCACCTAGTTTCTATTGTCTAATTCCCATGTGTGTATGATACTTTATCCTGCAGCCTCGGAGCTCCTTCCGGGCTTGTGGCATGTATTCCTGGGTTCCAGGGGGTGTTTTGGTATAAATAAAGCTCCTGTGGAGACTACTTATGGGGGAGTCGTGGCAGCATTCTTCAGTGTGTCTGCGGGGGGGGCAGGATGGTCTGGCCTTGTGAGTGTTTTCTGAAGCTTTATCTTATCATTTAAGAATGTGATTTGGCTTATTTGAACTGGCAGTCTGTTTTGCATTCTACTGTTCTCTATACTGGGAGTGTTTCTGCTGGTATTTAGTTGCTTATTGTATTCAGCAAAGAGCTTTAGCATTTTGTTTAAAACTGACCTCAGAGGGCAAATTAATTTAACAGCCACCGTTTTAAAGAGCCGGGGGATGTATGCCTCCATTGACTGCTAAAACAGAGCTGTAATATATTTTGGGTTCAATGATGAGGGTCCTATGAGTGCCTAACACTACCCACTGGCCTCAGTGCTACTTAAAAAGCACCATTTATATTGGCTACAGTGAAACAAGTCATTATTCCAGCTGATAATATTCTTTGAAGCATTGATAAGGAGAGCTGGATAGTTCCAGGCAATGATTGCATGCTCTTCCAATAAATGAATCCTGGGGGCTGTCCCCTTCCCCCACTCGCCCTGGGTCCAGCACATACCCCAGGGGTGTGAATAGGCCATAGTAGACGTCCTTTTGTCTGTGTTTGTACAGTTCTCTTGTGCTGCTAATGCCTCTGACTGTAACTGAAACTATGGCGAAACTTCTTTTTTATTTTTTTCTTTGCGCTTCTCTTTTGGCACTTGACTCGACTCCTGTGTTACCGAACAATGGGGTCATTGTCCATTTTGTCTCCAGGTGTGCAATGGCTTCGGTGTAACATACACCTCTTGCCCCGAAGGCTGATGCTAGTAGAAGGTCCATGTTGAAGTATTCATCTATTTCTGCACACTTTAATGTGGTCGGGGATCTTTTGTCAATAGCTTTCATGTCACGGGAGTGTGGCGCGTTGCTGCTAAAGGCTGTTGTGTGCAGTTGGAGCAGAGCTAGATGGGTGGTTAGTGGTCAGATGTCTGGCCTTACTGGAATTATACACCATATCAATACTGATCCCAGTCTCTGCCAAGGAATGGCGGTGTATGTTGTGTAAAGTCTGTGCTTCAGTAATGTTCCAGAATTCTTAGTAAGCATAATTGCTCGGGTTAATGCTGTGTCTTGCTTCTTGCAAACTGTGTACAAATCTGATGCATTATTTATGGTCTTCAGCCATGGCCACCCTAACCCAGCTCATAGTCATAAGGTGCCACTTGTAATCCAGCTATTTAAGCTTTAGAGCTACCCGTGTGCACTGACCTGAACGGTTTCCCGCCTGGTAGAGCCAGATAAACATTAAGCGCTTGTTCACACCATATACAGTGTGTTCCAAAGCGGTCAGCTGCTGGAACGCAGTGTCGCTTCATGCGCTCAGGGGATTGGCGGGGGCATTGAAATCAATGGCAAGGCAACCATACCACCACCCGCAGTGCGATTGCCTGCATCAGAACGCGTGGCACACGAGTGACTGCGTTCTGGTCCAATGCGATCTGAAAGAGTGCTTGCAGCGATACAGTGCGTTCCAGCAGCTGACCTCTCTGGTAATGCACCCTTTATGATGTAAACAATCCCTAAGGCAAGGGTAGCCAAACTCTGGCCCTCCAGCTGTGGTGGAACTACAAATCCCATGAGGCATTGCAAGATTCTCATACATGACTCCCAGAGATGCATCATGGGATTTGTAGTTTCACCACAGCTTGAGGGCTGGAGTTTGGCTACCACTGCCATAAGGGCTAGTTCACACCAGATGCAGTCCATTCAGTTTGGCAGCTGCATTAAAATCGCATCAGTGCTTTCCAATGGGATTTCCAGTGCTCTGTTTACATCAGTGCAGTCTTTTCTGATGCAGTCAGAAAAAATACTGCTTTTCATTTTAGCTCCACCTCATTGCAATGGAGCACATTGCAATGGAACGCATGCAAACGCAC